TTTAGGTCCAGCAGATGTGGTGATTGACAGTTTGGGTGTTTGAAGAAACTTTAGAGGTGAAGGTGCTGGCAGCAGTGTTATTGGAAATGATATACTCACCATTAGAGATTCTTTATTTTACTTCCCCGTTTTCTCCATTTTCATGGAAAGTCTACTTTAAGCACTGAGGTGAGATGTTATGCATAAAACTGTACACACAATAAGAAAATCGGATGAATGATCATCCATTCTTTTTTTTGCATGCTAGTCTTCATGTCGAAAATGAGAGGGTACTAAACTTACAAAAATTCTCCTATGAAAGAAAAGAATATTGAAAGTGATGTCGTGTATTGCATTTTTGGAGGAGTACTGTACTGATTAAACGAAAATTGTACAATCTGATATCTTACGAGAAAACTTTCCGTGTTTGTCTCTTCAGATATTGGTGCATAAATTGTCGTGATCATCTCTCGAAAGCTGTGTACTATCAATCGGTCCTCATAGGAAAATTTTCATATGATTTTTTTATCGTGTGTACGGGCCGATGTGTTACTTCTTTCAAAATACAAAAGTTGTCTTCTTCAAGTGGAAATCAAGGCAGTAGCAATCTTTACCCCTAATCATTGTTATGCATAATTGCCTTTCAGCCACATTACTGATGTGTCAGGTCCTAAGGCAGGCCATAGACAAAGCAAATTACTTTCCTGCAACCACGACTTGATTCCCCCATCAACACAGACAGTGTTGATAGGGTAATACCTTACTGAGCTATTGTGTTCTCTCGGCAGGCAGAAGAAGCCATCCCTGCCTGGAGATCACGGCAATTATTGCTAGCGGCTATAACAGCCACTAGCAATAGTCGCATGTTAAATCTGGCAGGCTAGTTGTATCCAAGCTGATAGATCGATCAACCAACTTGGGTACATTCAGCCTGCCCATATGTCAGGAAAGGCCTGCCCATAGTGCAGGTGAAGATCCATGGCGCACAAATATGCGCATGCACAGAAATATGATGAACTGGGCAGATGTATGGGTGCTTGGGCATAGGCACAAACACGTGTGAGTGCGCATGAACACTCACGTATCCAGGCGTGCGCCTGTCACTAATGCTGGCGCCAAAGGGGCTATTTCAGTCTTTGCAGATGACACCAAGCTGTGCAGTGGGATAACATCCTTACATGATGTCTTCAATTTACAAGCCGACCTCAATGCACTGTTTAATTGGGCAACTATGTGGCAAATGAGATTTAATGTTGATAAATGTAAGGTTATGCACGTGCGGGTTAAGAATATGCATGCATCATACATACTAGGGGGATAACAATGGGGGAATCAATAGTGGAGAATGATCTTGGGGTTCTGTTAGATCACGAGCAAAATCCTCTCTTGTATTAAAAGAGGTATAGACTCCAGAAAGAGAGATCATATTACCCCTGTACAAATCATTAGTAATACCTCACCTGGAATATGCAGTTCAGTTTTGGGCACCAATTCACAAAAAATAACATTGGGGAACTTGAGAGAGTACAGAGAAGGGCAACTAAACTGATATGAGGCATGGAGGAGCTCAGCTATGAGGAAAGATTAGAGGAACTAAATGTATTCTCTCTTGAGAAGAGGAGATTGATCTATGATCAACATGTATAAAAACATCAGTGGTTCATATAGTGAACTCTGTGTAGAGTTATTCACCCTGAGGTCATCACAGAGGACAAGAACACTCTTTACGTCTGGAGGAAAAGAAATTTAATCTCCAAACATGGAAAAGGTTTCTTCACAGTGACAGCTGTGAAAATGTGGAATAGACTCCCTCAAGAGTTGGTTCTGGCCAGCTCTGTGGATTGCTTCAAAAAGGGCCTGGATTCTTCTTAAATACACAAAATATAACTGGATACTAACATTTATAGGTAAAGTTGATCCAGGGAATATCCGATTGCCTCTCAGGGGATCAGGAAGGAATTTTTTTCCCAGCAGGAGCAAATTGGATCATGCTTTGCTTGGTTTTTTTGCCTTCCACTGGATCAACTGTGGGTATAAGATTATTAATTTTTTTTCTTTTTTCTATGGAGGAACTGGTTGGACTTTTGTCTTTTTTCAGCCAGACTAACTATGTAACTATTTAAACTGGCTACAGTAAATGTCTCATTGCCGTTTGGTCTTATCCCTGCTTGTGTTTCCTGATTCCTGTGATTGACTCCTGATACTGAACCAGCTTGTTCCTGACCTCCACTTGACCCTTCTGTCTTCTGCTCCTGTCTGATTGATCTTCCGCTGCTGAATTGGCCTGTAGCCTAACTACGCTTCCTCCTGCATCTGCTCAACTGCTACCGAACCCGGCTCATCTGACCCTGCATCCTCAAACGCACTCCTCAGTGATCCATCCATCCAGCATGGCTGCATCCGAATCCTGCTCCCTGCTTTCAGCCTGCCCTGCAGCTCACCTGCCTACCAGCTACTACTGGACTGATCACAGGCACTCATACCCCACCATGCTCCTGTGGCCGCTGTCCCACTATCAGCGGTCCTTGAGCCGGAGTTGTACAGGAGGCCTGCCTCTTCACATCAGGCTCACTATCCAGGTACGTGACACCATACATGGTTCAAATCTTGGCTGGTTCCTACTGAACTAGCCAAGATTCGAACCGTCTATGGTCGGCTTAATTCTTGGTTCCAATCTGGGTAGCAGTTCTTATGGACTGGTGGCACCTATATAAATAAAATGGCAACAATCTGCCAACCTTATTGCTAATATAATACTACAATTATGACAGCAGTGCATCTCTACTTTTTGATAGAAAAAAAAAAAACCTGAGTCGTGCTTAATGAATGTTTTCCCAGTGTTAAGTGATTACATTGCATTACCAAATCTGGGCCCCCTTTAGCAATTTCTCTTTTATGGGCTGCATCTTTATAAAGTGGAAGCAATACTGCCAAATCAAGTGACCTGATTTTAGAAGATTTTTCTAACTTTCAATTTATTTTTTTTATAAGTGAAGGTTTTGACTGCATACACCAGTGGTTTCTCTAATGAAGCATATCTTTATTCTTAATCTCTTAACAGATTCTTCATAAACCTATTCTCAGCCCAGTAGAAACTGCAAATTAGAAGCATAAGAAAGTGTTGCTGAAAAACCAAATCCAACAAAAATAATTTGCTGGAAGCTACATTAAAAAGGAAATAAATAAAATTTAGTGCAATGCTAAAATATATATCCTATAAATATTAGCGCATTCAGCCATTTGCATTACCAACAAGGGACACATATGTGTTTTATTTCAATTTATTTTAGGCAAAAAATAGTGACTACATATAACCACAGACAAACAGGTCAACTATAATCCAACCAACAAATGATGTTTTGACCATTTTGACCAACAAAAAATGTCAGCAGAGATATGCATATGTTCTTTGACATTAGTCAAACCTGTCCCAGATTTCAATTAAAAAAGTAAAAAAAAAAAAAAAAACCTGATGTTCTGTATATCTGGGCTCTGTCCAGATGCTCGTTATGGCACTTGGCTCCATATCTATACATTCTGCTGGTTGAAGTGATCTCCTGCCTGATCGTATGAAAAAAACATAGTATGACGTTCTGACAGTGATGTCACCAGACAGCGGTTTGTGAAATAGTGCAGGAGATAGGTAATCATACTCTGCACTGCCTCCTCTTGCACACCAAGGCTTCTTTTGGGGGGGAACCCCTCTACTGACCACCAATGCTTTTGGGGGGGAGCCACTAACCATAAATGCCTTGAAATGGGGGGAAGAACACTGGCCACCAAAGCCATGGGGGGGGGGGGGGGGACACCATTAGTGAAGAGTGACCCCATCACAGTCTGGCTCACTAGCAATCTGTCAATCAGGTTTTTGCTCAGTGGCACATTAAAATACTAACTGCACAAATCTTTCAAAAAATGAATACCAGTAGGGAACATCACCACAACAAACTTAATGACTGAAAAGAGATAAAGAGAACTTACTTTTATAATATTTTGTATTGTTTTTGATATCCTCACTTCCGTAGTCACTGTAAGTAGTCCCTGGGTGAGTCTGATTTGAAATATCAGCTGGTGTATAGGGGCTGATAGACTGGAGATGCATATTGCTTGAAATTTTAACATCTGATTTACACTATTGTAAGTATGATCATGTATGAAAAAAAAAAAGGTTCAGAACACATGACATTTTTATTTTTAAGCTGTTACACATGGAAAAGTCTTTACTTGGGGAATGGATTTTGGCTTTTAGGAAGAAACCTAGGAGTATATTAAATTACAGCTTCAGGCAAAGGACCATATATTTTCAAGATAAATGTTTGCAAGAACAAACACTGAATTATCTACAAAGATAAACACTTATGGCAATGCACAGATTACTGTAGAGCAGGCAAAACATTAAAGTGCAAAGTACTGCATTTTAGACCAGTGTTTAACCACTTGCCTACCAGGCACTTATACCCCCTTCCTTACCAGGCCAATTTTCAGCTTTCAGCGCTGCCGCACTTTGATTGACAATTGCGCGGTCATGCAACATTGTACCCATATGAAATTTTGATCATTTTTTTCTCACAAATAGAGCTTTCTTTTGGTGGTATTTAATCGCCACTGGGCGCTTTACTTTTTGCGCTATAAATTAAAAAAAGTGCAAAAAATTTGAAAAAAAAAAAAAAAAAAAAAAGTTTATTTGTTTCTTTTATAAAATTTTTCAAACAGGTATTTTTTCTCCTTCACTGATTTGCGTTGATGAGGCGGCACTGATGGGCACTGATAGGCGGCACTGATGGGCACTGATAGGCAGCACTAAAGGGCACTGATAGGCAGTACTAATGAGGTGGCACGGATAGGCGGCACTGATAGACAGCACTAATTAGGGGTCACGGATAGGCGGCACTGATATGCAGCACTGATAGGCGGCACTGATAGGTGACACTGATGATGGGTACTGATAGACAGCACTGACTGGCATCACTTCTGGGCACTGACTGGCGGCACTGACTGGCACAACCCCTGGGCACTGACTGGCAGCACTGGTGGGTGGCACTGGTGGACAGCACTGGTGGGTGGGCACAGGTGGGTGGCGCTGGTGGGCACAGTGTGGGTGGCGCTGGTGGGCACAGGTGGGTGGGCACAGGTGGGTGGCACTGCTGGGCACATGTAGGTGGCACTGCTGGGCACAGGTAGGTGGCACTGCAGAGTGGCACAGGTGGGGGCACTGCAGAGTGGCACAGGTGGGGGCACTGCAGAGTGGCACAGGTGGGGGCACTGCTGGGAATGGGTGGGCGGGGCTAGTGGGCGCACAGCTGATCGGATCTTGCGGGGGTCACTGCTGGGCACCGATCATCAGGGCACTGATCATCAGTGCCCTGATGATCGGTGCCGATCCCCGCTCTGACAACTGCCGGTTCTCGGCAGTACTTTCCTCACGATCTGACAGCGTGAGGAAAGTGCAGCCGAGAACCGGCACTTGCATTTTCCTGTGATCAGCGTGTCATTGGACACCGCTGATCACGTGGTAAAAGGCCGGTGGGATCGGCCTTTCACCACATCTCGTGATCAGCTGTGTCCGTAGGACACAGCGATCACGGAGATCGCCGGGTGCGCGCCCCCTGGGGAGCGCAGGAGAGCGCGTTCTGGGAGGACGTCATATGACGTCCACTCAGAACTGGCCGGCCGCGGTGAAGCCGTCATTCGGCTATGCGCGGTCGGCAAGTGGTTAATGATGTCAGGTAAGTACCGTATGTGTCTCGTTTATTAACACTTTTGTGGAGCAATTGCTTATTCTAACTTATTCTAATGAAAAGCAACTGAAGAGAAGATTTGCCATTGGATCCCAGGACTGTGAGCACAGTATCATCCAGGATTTTCTGAAACAAATATCTAGAACATACCATTCACACGGATGTGCATCTGATGATGCAACTAGTAGAAATCAAGCATTGCCTCCAGTGTAAGGTGCTTTTCTGGATCAAATAATAGATGAATTGTTGCTTTCTATGGTGTACAACCAATGACAGTATTTTCAAAAAACTAGTTTTTTGGTTATTTAAGCCTGGATTACACAAAAAATACTGAAGTGAGCCCTGGGAGGTAGAGAGCTTTTGCTGATATAAACAGTAGATGTGAAATTTATTGACCGATAAAATACTGTACATTTATCATTAGCAGAAATGGAGACCTAAAAAAAGGTATATTTGTGCTATGACACTTCACAATATTTGCTTCTGTGCTCGTAGTTTGTATTTTGGTTCAGTTTCCATACAAAATGGATCAACTTCACAACGATTTCTACTTAATAGTTCATATACTGTAAATGCATGTGTTCTTCAGCAAATGTGCAAAAAAAACCCCCAAAAACCAAAAAAAACACCGGAAGACATGATTTAAATGTACAAATCTTGAAATGATAACTAGTGGTGGGAGGAAACTAACCAGAGGTCTCAAAAGATAAAAATGGGCCACACAATGAGGCTGGATGACTCAAACTGTGTAAGGCACACTAGTTTTGTCAGCAGGTGTCAGACAGGCGTTTGGGAAGCGTTTTTAATGCTTCTCAAACGCCTATGAAAATTCTGCACATGGCAGCACACAGTGCTGTTCACACTGAAGCGTTAGCGTCGCGTCATGGAAAAACTGACGCTTCATGTCGAGTCAGGAGGAGCTGAAGCCTCCCATTCAAGTCCATGCTGCTGCTCCGCAAACAACTGGCAGGCATTTGCGGCGTGGTTGCGAGGCGGTTGCGGAGCGTTAATACTATTTAACTTCATTATAGGCATTTGTTGTGCAGTTTTAACACTTGGCAAATGCCTATCAACCTCCTCAAAACCGCGCATGGGGCGTTTGGGGAGCGTTTAAGGAGCGTTGAAAATGCTTCCCAAACACCTGTCTAACGCCTGTCAAACACTTTAGGGGCGCTTGGCAAGAGTTACAAGTAAAGCCAAGTGTGAACAAGCCCTAAGAGGTGTTAAATCGGTATGAATGTGAAAATCCCTTCTACAGTCAGTGTTGTCAGCGAGGAGTGTAGAAAAATTTTAAAATAAAACTTTTATATAGGTTTCTTAGGGGTCTCAATATACAGGGATATGGAAAGTGGTAGTAGCAAATGAACACATTGAACTGGATGGACTTGGATGATGTCTTAATTCAACCTTTTCAACTATGTAACTGACTTACACAATAGATTGGAGATGGTTCTAAATAGTTCTAACATTCAACAAGTGTATGGATCAATACAGACTTTTAAAACCAGCATAAAGTCCCTCTTAGACAGTGCTTTGAATAAGTAATATTTTTGTAGTGTTAAAAATAGAATAGATTTAACCACTTCCCATGAGGCCTTTGTATATAAACAGCCACAGCGGAAGACTGTCGGTGCGGGTAGACGTACCCATAATTATTGTAATAATTTAACTTTATATTTATATTGTGTATTATCCTAAATCTACAAATAAAAATGTTTAACTGCTTCCCGACCACCCTATAGCAGGTATACTGCTACAGTGCAGCACAGGTGTGCAAAATCATGTATATATCCGTGACTTTGCATTTCCGGGTAGGGGGCACGCGCAAGACCGTGGCTGTCAGTCACCGGGTTTTGGCCGGTGATTACTTGCCAGTGCCCGGTGATTGCCGAGGATTCCTGTCAGCTCGTGCACACTGCTTTGGATGGCTGTGCACAGCACAGTAATGGTGTCACTGGGGATGTCAGTGACACCAAGTCCGTTCCCGCAGTGTCAGAATACCCGCCGCAGTCCTGCTATAAGTTGCTGATCGCCGCCATTACTAATAAAAATTAAAAAAAAAATTCCAGTATATATACCGCCATTTGTAAACACTATAACTTTCATGTAAACCAATTAATTTACACGTATTAGGATTTTTTTTAGCAAAGACATGTAGCAGAATACATTTTGACCTAAATTTATGACGAAATTTGAATTTTTTTATTTTTTTACTGGACATGTTTAATAGCAAAAAGTAAAAAATATAGTTATTTTCTCAAAATTGTTGGTCTTTTTTTTTTATAGTGCAAAAAATAAAAACCGCAAAGGTGATCAAATAACACAGAAGGAAAGCTCAATTCGTGGGAAAAAAAAGGACGTAAATTTAATTTGGGTGCAGACTTGCATGACTGCACAATTGTCAGTTAAAGTAACGCAGCGCCATAATGCAAAAAATTACCTGCTCAGGAAGGGGGGTAAATGCTCAGGAGGCAAACGAAAGGTGGTGGTGTATGTATGTGAGAAGTGAGTATGAAAGAGGACCTAGTTGATGAAGAGTGTGATGAGACTGAAGCAATATGGGTGGAACTGCACATGGGGATGCATACTACAAAGGTAATTGTTGGAGTTTGTTATAGGCCACTCAGTGTTAAAGAGCAGGTGGAGACTCAGCTCCTTGCACAGATCGAAAGGGCTGCAAGGGCTGGGACAGTGATAATAATGGGGGATTTTAACTACCTGGAAATTGACTGGAGTAATGGTACTGCAGGAACAGTTAAAGGGCAAAAATGTATAAACCTAATACAGGACAATTTTATGGTACAGTTCATAGAGGCCCCAACTAGGAATGATGCTCTGCTGTACCTGGTAATCTCAAACCATGCAGAGCTGCAAGGCTGAGAGCTGCTCTCCAAGACTTAGACTGGGTGGGAATATTGGCATCGATGGACACAACACAGAAATGGGGGTTCTTCAAAAAGATTGTATGTGAACACACTGCAAAATATATTCCCATGGGCAACAAGTCTAAAATGCTAAAAATCAAGCCTATGTAGCTTACGGCCACAGTTAAAAAAGCTATAAATAATAAGAATATAGTTTTTATTAAATATAAAAATGAAGGAACGCTATTATCATTTTAACATTACAAAGAATATAACAGAATATGCAAAAAGGAAATCAAGGCCGCAAAAACAAAGATTGCAAAAGATAGCAGGATCAACCCCAAAAAATTCTCTAAATATATTAATAGTAAAAAGGTCTGGTCCGAGCATGTGGGCCCTTTACAAACTAATCTAGCGTGGGTGACTGGGTACAAAGAGAAGGCAAATTTATTAAATACCTTCTTCAGCTCTGTGTATACAAAGGAGCATGGGGGAGCTCTTGTCCATAATGGGCATGGTATTGACACAGCTCCAGATAATCCACATTGGCTCACAATTAATATGATCCAAAAATATTTAGATAGTATAAAGGTGAATAAGGCACCTTGACTGGATGGCATACACCCACGGGTCCTTAAAGAATTGAGCTCTGTCATTTCAAAGCCATTGTTTCTAATTTTTAGGGACTCTTTAATGACTGGCATAGTACCACTGGATTGGCGTAAGGCCATTGTGGTGCCTATATTTAAAAAGGGGTCAAAATCTTTACCAAGTAATTACAGACCTGTTAGTTTAACTTCTATAGTTGGGAAGATATTGATTCAAAATCCCATTTCAGTCTTTGCAGATGACACCATGCTGTGCAGTATAATAACGTCCTTACAGGATGTCTCCAACTTACAAGCCAACCTTAATTGGGCAACTATTTGGCAAATGAGGTTTAATGTTGATAAATGTAAGGTTATGCACTTGGGGGCTAAGAATATGCATGCATCATACATACTAGGGGGAATACAACTGGGGGAATCAATGGTGGAGAAGGATCTGGGAATTCTGGTAGATTACAAGCTTAATAATGGCATGCAATGCCAAGCTGCGGTTTCTAAAGCGAGCAAAATCCTCTCTTGTATTAAAAGAGGTATAGACTTCAGAGAGAGGGATATCATATTACCCCTGTACAAATCATTAGTAAGACCTCATCTGGAAAATACAGTTCAGTTTTGGGCACCAATTCACAAAATGAACATTAGGGAACTGGAGAAAGTACAGAGAAGGGCAACCAAACTGATAGACATGGAGGAGCTCAGCTATGAGGAAAGATTAGAGGAACTGAATTTATTCTCTCTTAAGAAGAGGAGATTAAGGGGGGATATGATCAACATGTATAAATACATCAGTGATTCATTTAGTGAACTCAGTGTAGTTATTCACCTTGAGGTCATCACAGAGGACAAGGGGGCACTCTTTACGTCTGGAGGAAAAAAGATTTACCGTATTTGCCGGCGTATAAGACGACTGGGCGTATAAGACGACCCCCTACTTTTTCTGTTAAAATGTAGTGTTTGGGCTATACTCGCCGTATAAGACTACCCCTCTTCCAATGCACACCAGTGGGAGGAATAGTGCCCCATCATCGGTGTCAGTGGGAGGAATAGTGCCCCATCATTTGTATTAGTGGGGGGAATAGTGCCCCATCATTGGTATCAGGGGGGGGAATAGGTGCCCCATCATTGGTATCAGTGGGGGGA